TTTACATATCCCCACAGAAAAGAGTCTAACGACCAGCCTAAAACGTGAAATTATTTGTTGACCGTACTGTTATCTCAATAAATCCATAGATTGATGCGATATGTGAGAAGTGGCGCCGTCTTTTCGAAGCCAAACGTCGTCGAGATAAAGAACTTCAATGTTATGCATCATACAGTCGGTTATCAAAGCGCGATAACGGTCACCATTAACGGTTGCATTACATCGGCGTAATTTCTGAAGAAATATTGATGGAATCATCGATCAATATTTCTTCGACCCACAAACCACACCAAACCGTTCGTTCCAAATTCGGCAATTTCGCTTGTTTACACACCCATTGAGTCAGAAATGGATCTCACGCTGAACTTGGCGGGAAAACGTCGAATTTTAAAAGGCGATTTTTCCCGAAAAAAACAGATTATATTTCTGCTTTGCCCTTTTCCTTCTGCTTGGTCCTGCAGATGTGTGTTTGAACATCGTTGCAGGCAGTCGAATGGCTGCGTCATGTGGATGAAAAAAACCTACGTCAACTTCAGGCTACCAAATACATACATACCTTACATAGATTCAGAAGTAGATTTTTCCATAGAACAAACTTTCTATTTTTGACCGAACAGAGAACCTAATATAAATACGAGTATCAGCAGATAATCGAATGTTGGGTTACAGCCGAGCTTATGGGCGAATGGGCTTTTGTGAATGCAAAATAATTAAATTAAATCGAAATTAATTAATTCAAAATTTCATTTAAACTTCAAGGCGGTGCACTAGAAAGGAAAATTTTGTTCAATAATTTTTTATAAAAAGTCGAAAATAATAACATAACAAATTATGAAAACAATTCTTTCCTTTCTTCTTCTTTACTTACTTTTCATGAATTTCCACTAACGGAATACTTCTTTTGACAAATAACAAAAATGATGTACAGTAAGCACTAAAAATCAGGCAGCTGCAAATGAGCCAAAAATTACTGCTAGTCTATTAGAAGTACCTTTATATGAGTATATGATATATTTTAGGCTCAAAAAGTTACTTTTAAAACCCAACTAATTTTATTTTTTTGATACAAAACAAATACTTCGCTATAAGTATTTTTTATGCTTGCCTCTCTATATGTACCTAAACTTTGTACGAAATTCTTAAAGTGGTAAATTAAAGCTTAAAAAATATTGTCTAATTTATTTAAAAAAAGCTTAAGCTATAAAACGAGCTAAAAAATGTGTACTTACATATGGCGCCGTCTTTCGTGAATTACTTTAATCACTCAAGCTTGGCCTAAAGAAAGCCCAGCTTAAACTCAAACCTCTAAGACGAACTTTGTTTAAAGCTTAATGTATGCTTTTAACTGTTGAAAGCTTTGTATATACATATGCACATCGTTTGCTAACTACCAGATTATACTCGTAAATGCTGCAATATATCTATGAATTTCTATTTATGAAAACTGGATAAACACAAACAAACCGAACTTAAAAACTTTCCAATACGGTGGGTGGAGGTTTCGTTAAAGAGAAAAGACACTTTAATGTACTACACTTAATTTTAATAATTTTGGTAGAAGACGTGGCTGTTATTGCCCGCCCTTAACATACAAAAAATTTCATAGATTCAATCAATTATTTTAGTATACTTGAAATACTCACAATCCGAGAATACGAAACTCGGAAGAAGGAAGACAATGAAAATCCATCAGCCGTTCGGAGGTGGTGGAGGTCGGTATAAACTATAGGTCCCTCCATTTATTGCAAAAACCAGCAATTGGAGACGGAGCTTGACCAAAAATCGCTTCAGTGTAAATTCAAAGGTTGACATTTGAGGAGAAAGACAATCTATTGCTGAGTACTGTCGTTAACCTCACACTCCCACATAGTGAGAGCACTCGGCAATAGCCTAATGTAACAAAATCAAAGATTAATATGTAAAGCTACCTACGTATCATCGTTAAGAAAGAATTGATTTTCGACCATATCGAGAGATGAGCCCATATGATGACGGTTGTCGCGTATGAGCCTTTTCAGAGAGAAAAATGTGGTCACAAATCTAGAGTACGTAGAATCCGAAAGTTGGCCAACAGCCAGTTAAAAAACGCTGTGAATTTCAGAAGTTTCCATAACAAGGGCAAACTAATCTTGGAACCAAAGAAGTGGCTTGGATACCAATGTTCAAAGTATGCCGTGTTTATAGAGGATGACTTCTCTAACAAAGGAAAATAATTTTCGTTTGATATTTAATGAGATTTTATACTCTCTGCCCTGAGATATTGACATCATTGCCGCTAGTTCTGTCTCCTCGACAGAAATGCTTGTTGGAAGATATATGATCCTTTGAGCGTGGACAACGGCAAATACTTTAGGCGATTGACCGATGAACTGTACGAGACAATGACTTTGTTGAGCCAATAAAAATTTACAAGCTACACGTACACTGTTTATTCAAATTAATAACACAAGAGACCAAAATAAATTATTATCGTATTGAATTTGAGGGCTGTTGTTTACAAATTTGAAGTCACTGATTTCAAGTCTACACTTTACTCTGAGCCGTTGCTTGAGCATTTCATTTCTAAAATAAACGAGCTGTTTTTTCAAAAAAATTACAATGGGTTATGTAAGTTTGAAATCAAGAATATTATTATTTTTGAATGGTTGAAGTAAAAGGGATTATTTAAAAACCGGTCAAAATGGTTTGACTTGTCATCTCATTCTCGATTCCACTTCCAGATATTTCTTATAAGCCCAAATCCCTTAATCACGAATACGTTTGTGCATTCATCAGAGATATTTCAAAAAAAAGCAGCAGAGTTTCTCGCTTCTAGATTAAAACAAAGAAGTTTTTCAATATCAGCAAAAAGAATTTCAAACCATCGTTAACAAGAGGAAAATGTCTAAACACCACTTCTCACATTTTTTTTGGGTTCTGATTTTTCTAGTTTATTTATACTAATGGGAGTACAAACTCATTTGGGTCGACCTAAAAATTATGAATTTTCTACTTGGACGACAAGCAAGTTTTACAAAATTTTCTCGTTTAATTTGTCAATGAGGTAGCAGAACTAAGCCTTAGCACTGGTATGCTTACCTGACGGCAGGCTACCGTTGGAGCATTAAAACAGTCCTCGCGAATGCAGTTTGGCTTGTCATTTCATAATAAATTGATTTACTTCGAAGCAAAGTTGGCAAATCGTTCGGTTTGCAATATTCTGTCGACATGGTTGAAGTTGACTTTTGGTTGTAAATTGAAAATTGTCCCCTTTATAGGTATGATAATCTACAAAGCAAAATACTGGCGGTAACGTTACAGGCAATGGGGAATGCTTCAGCTCCAAAGAGGCGACACTGCATGCCATACAGCCAACGAAAGAATCAATTTATTTAAATAAACTTTTAGTGAGTACATTATCTCGCTTCTTGGGCCAATAGCGTGGCATATGGGGAGTAACTTGTCAAGTTAATTGTCTACACAGTTAGGCCCGAGACGACTGACTCCTTACAAAGGTATAATTGGCGGCGAAAAATTGCTGCAAAAAGTGGTCGAAAATTGCGCCTCTCGGCTGGAACTTATTCACGCCAACGGCGACGGTTACTTGCCCGTAATCACTTACACGCAAACTTTTAACATCAATTAAATGTTTTTTGTTTTTTCTGCAAAACCAGTTGTCTAAAAAAGGCAGCCTTATTAAATACAAAAACCAAAAAAAAAAAATTATATTTCATAAACAGAGGCTGATACTATGGATCCGAAATCACCACTCCAAAAAATTTGTTTCATGCTACAAAAATATTTATCGCTTGCATAAGTTTTTCTTCTGATGTGAAAGAGCAGCATCAATTCTTCTCGCCAAACAAGCGAATTCTATTAATCCAAGCTTTGAGTGGATTATAATATGCCAACTTGTTAACAATATCATTTTTTTTATAAAATTTCATTGCCATTTATGACAAAAAGGTCTACAATTTATTGGTGTCATCTTTGATCTAATGTTTCGCGGTTATCAGCTAACAAATGTTGAAAGTAAATGGGCATTAGGCAAATCAGTGTGAAGCATGACTTTTATTGCGCCTAATAAATATTTAAACAAATTTGACAATGGAATATATATATATATATATAATATGTATATATGTACATATGTCCATATCTACTTATGTATTGCTTTCAACCTTACGAATGTAATGCTAAGCAAACAAGCTTTATTGTCAAATTAGCCAACTGCGCCACTGCAAGGTCGATGTTTTTATGCAATTTCCAGTTGTATTTGCATGAATGTGTGTTCTTCATAAAAAGTACTGTTTTTTTGTTTCCTTTTGTGGGAACTCAGCCGCCAGCACCCACGAATTGTGTTCAATTCATGTGATTTGTTGCATGAATGACGTTATGGTGAGCCAACTCGTTGCTGTCTTGCAACAATGCAACGCAGACATGTGGCAGACTGCAATAACAACAAATAACAAATGAATTGAAATTATGTGAAAAACTATTGTTGCGAAAAAAATTATTTGCATATTTTTGCTGGTATTGGCGCGTAGGCGGTGTGAGTGCCAAAATCAAATGTTTCAACATGCAACATTAAAAATATTAAATGCCATTAATGAGGGCAAAACTGTTTTACAAATCAACTACTAAGTTGACCGACAGACGGTAATGTAAAACTCTAACTTAACATACCATTTACCGTTAACTGCATATTTCACTCATTGATTTTAGATTTTCGCATTTCATATAAGCGAAACCGATGAAATTTCCTACGCATGGCAATGCATTGTGGGCAATGCAGTAAATTTGGTTTCGAGCCAACGGTTCGTTGATTAAGTCTTATTGCCGGGCAAAAAAAGTATTGATTTATTTTTGCATAACGGCAACAACGGAACTATGTTCCACCGTTGTGCGGTTGCCAGACGATCGAACGCTTCGCCCTTAAATTTAGAATTGTTGTTTAAATAATAAAAACAGTTGAGCAAAATTTTAGATTTCGATATAACAAATTTATTAAAAAAAAACACTTAAAACTTAGACGCTTTCTTTAATAAATGAAAGAAATAAACAAAAAATTTGGGAACAAAATATTCGTATGTTATTGAAAGAAAAGTTTCTCTGCTCAGCTCGCTCACATCAACGTTTGCTACCACTTATGTACGTTCATACACATCCATATGTATGTGTGAATGTAGATTTAAAAATATGTTTGACCTCACTTATTCACTCACTCAAGTCTCTCTTATATATATATGTATATAATTTTTTTTTTTTTACAAAATTGAATCACCTTGGTGTTGTAAAGACTCATTTATGACAAATCTTTATGAATATTCGCGTAACTTAAAATATTGTGATTTATTACAAGTCCACACTGTGAATCGTAGTCTTCTATTAACATAATTTTTACGTTGAGTTTATGTTTGGTAAATCGTAAGTCCTTTTCAATATCCACATTCCAAATGATCCATAAATTTTTCGAACATCACATCCATACGCTTAATGCAACAGACCATGACCGTAACCACCGTAGTTAAGACCATAATGACCCAACGAGCCGTGGTAGGCAGGTGCGGCGTAAACAGCAGGAGCAGCATGCACTATGGGTATGGAATTGGTGGACACTTTGTAGGTGTTGGCGTATGAGGTAGCAACAGGCGCGATAGTCTTCACAATAGGTGCAGCTACAATTGGTGCGCTGTAGGTTTTCACAATTGGCGCTGATGCCACAAGGGGAGCATGATAGGCGGCTGGTGCAACAATACCACTGTAACCGCCATAACCTAAGCCATAACCCAAACCATGTCCACCGAGACCATAACCACCCAGATAGCCGGCGGAGGTGACGGCGCAGAGTGCAGACAGGGTAACGATCTGGAAATAGATATGATATACATACACATATATTTTATTGAATAAAAATGTTTAGAGGGCTTAAGTTAAAAATAGTTTCTGAATAATAAGCATTAATTAATTGATTTATCCATGTCCTTCTGTCCGTCCGTCCGTTCAGGTACACGATAACTGAAATAAGAATGGAATTATTTTTATAAAAAAACAAGGTCCACACACTTCCTGGATCACACGGACGGATTGGTTCGATATAACGGTAATTTTGTATAAAACGAAAGTCTCTATAATGCAGTAACTAAATGTACTTTAATTTATTGGGAACGATTGCATTAAACGGAGAAATATGCGGTGTAGAAAAAGTCGAGTGGGCCTTGAACCTCGCACTTTTTGGTCTAAGGCCTAACGAACTTTTTACTTTCCACCCCCGCTTGACGCAACATCAGATATTTAGAGCATTAATTAAGGAACTTAGCAAATACTGGTAGGTATGCTACTCTTATTAAAGACTTAAGTCCTACAGAAGCGAGCTGGCATAGGTCCGAAAATAGCCATTCCTCCGATGTAACATACCAAATATGTTGACCGATCTGTAGACGTAATATAAATATCAGCGGAGTAACTAATGCTCGGCTTTATCCGAACTGGTCTGCTTTACTTATTAATCACTTTATTTATACCAAATATATATTTTTTCAAAAATTAGGGTTTTCAAAAATTTTATTCAAATATTATATTATATGATATTTCAATTAATTCATATTCCCTTAAAACACGCTCAAATAAAACTGTATGCTACAAATCACAAAACTGTCGTCTGGTGCTTTTAGCACAAAATACCATCTTTCTAGCGCCACCTAGCGGAGCCCGATCCAATATAGGCAAACATAATAAATAACACTATCTTTTAGAAAAATAATGGATTTCGTTTTACTACATCTAATATTAAGCAAAACCGGGCCATCGAATGTAGGCAGAAAGCTATCCCTAAAGAAATTTTATCATGTCAATCCCACCATATGTAAATACGAAAATCGAACGATTTCAAATCAAATTCGAAGTCCTATTCCAAGAACTTTTTTCTTCTCAGATACTTAGGTCAAGCGCGGAAGACGCCCTTCAAGTTTCGGATCTCTACGACCGGTGGTTTGTACTATGAGTAGATCCGGCAGTCATTCCGGAAATAACCTTCTATATAAATCGCTACAGCGGCCCGGTAATTAAAATATTTCTGTAAATCTTCTTTCGAAAAATATAACTCATTTGTTGTTGGAATTAAGCTAAGCACACTTGTTTATTAATTATTAATTTAAATTCAGTTCAATTTATATTTCATCGCACCAAAAGCATTATAAAATTATTACAAAGAGGATTAGCAATTGAATTGAATTTAAATTTTGTATATTATTAAATTACTAAATTATTTTTTTTTATCTCAATACCAAATCATTTCAGTCGTGTTATTACATTATTTGAAATGTGAAAAGCCTTCGTAGAAAAAAATTCATTTTATTATTTTTTATTTGTTTATTTATTTATTTATTTATTTTTATAATAAAATTTGAGCACAATAAAAATGTATCAGCCGAAAACGACAAAATATCTTAAGGCATTTAATATAAAACAACACTTCACTGTATCCTCTCACACATTGTAAATACTATTTAGCTTAGTCCTTAAACAACCAAGCATCGCTTACCAATTTGAACATTTTATTTGAGGTTTTTGAATGAATTTGGACGCACAACTACCACAAGATTAAGTTAAGCACAAGTGTTGTTATGATTAAATACAAAAATTGTGCCGGATATTTATACGCGAAAATCAGAAAAATTCTTACAGCGAAAATCCAAACAAACTCACAAATACACAAGCATAAATTAGAAACGAATCTCAGGAAAAATTGACATATGAAAAGCAAAATTAACTAAAACTTTGAGCATAGTTTTGTTATTGAGTGAGTTTCGAGAGAATCAACTCAAGTGAGCGCAGCCAATTAATGTTAAAAAATATGTAAAGCAAACCAATGCTTAAGGCTTTAGCGTCGAATCAAAATAAAAGTAAAAACCGGCAGCAATTTGAAAAGAGTCAGCTGGCGCACGTAGTTCACAAGCAAAGGGGTTGCTTTGCAATCGGAATAAAAAAAGCATAATCCGTGTGGAACGTGAGCGCAAACTTTGTTTGTAGTTTAGTTGCAAAGTAGTGTTTAACGTCTATATCTAAGCGCTGGCTTCTAAACGTCCTCAGCTGATGAGCATCAACATAAAGCTCATTGTCGTCATTGACAGCGAATATTTGGTCTGTGATCTATTTGTAATGGTAATTTTATTAGCCGTTCATTCGAGCGCATTTGACACAATGACAATTGAGTTAAAGCCAAGTGATGGACTTAAAAACTTCAGTTATGAATAGTTTAAGATTTCCATGTTTATTTCGTAGCCCAAATATGAATTGGCTACAATTTGCATTCGTATACCGGAAGTCATGGATCATCATGTGATTATTTTACGCTTGAAATCACTAATGCATTGTAAAAAAAAAAATTATTTCATCAATGAAATAATTGAAATTAATAGTTTGATAAGTAGAAACAACCAACACGAAAAAAATCGAAGAAGATTTTCAGTTGAGATTTTTTTGTACCTTCTTTGTGTTGTGATGAGCTGTTAACAACGGGCAACATCGAACACCAGTAGAGAGAAAAAAGACTACCTACCTCGCAATCTTACGATAGTCTGCAGTACGTGCGGGCTGCGAAATATGTCGAGTGCTAAAGAGGGAAGCAAGATGCGTTAGCTTATAGGAACGCTTGTGGAAATCTGGTGACCGATGTCCAGAACGGGAGTGTAATGGCAACACCAGCAGATGATGAAAGAAAAGACGTTCCATTAAAAAGTTCGAAAAGCAATCGATTTCTTAATGAACTGCTAAGCGGCTTGGGCTCATAGTTACTGGTTGAGTTATCCAAAAATGGAGACAAGGTGCAGGCTTCACATAATCAGACGAAAGCATGCTCGAAGATTGGAGCTTAAATGTGCTCTGCTCAATCCCACGGTCTGCGTCTATTAGCGTGGCTTTAGCCTCTTAAATATCGTACATAAGAAACTGTCGAGAGTTTGTGTGAAAGACAAAAGCCCAGCCTCAATAAACGTACTGCGCCTTATCAGTGTGGCTGAGCTAGTAAATACGCCACCATGCGTCTAATCTTAGAAAATATCCGTTAAAAAGGAATGAGGATACCAACTATCTTTCATAGACAGCACAGTAAGGAAATACCTCTATGGCGCTACACCTGAATTTGGTATCCACGCAAAACTTATACGGCTGATGCTATGCAACACCAGTAGGACGGTCAGAATTGCGAAGGATTTCTCCGAGTCATTCGGTACAAACGTGTTTTCAGCCAGGCTGAATATGACTTCTTTAACAGAGAACAAGAGAAGAGTTCCAGAGGTAAATAGACAAGGCACAATCTTCTACAAGAGCGCAAACAGTTATAACTTCGAAGTCTGTAATAATATTGTAATATCTATCTATATCTAGAGAACAGCATTAAGACAAACAACAATATAAGCCTGGAAATTCAACGCAGGATCTCTCTTGGACTGAGGTGGAAATATGAAAGTAAAGTGCTATCTCCACGAATCAAAGCCGAATTCTAAAGCTTGCACATCATTCTCGTCTTGCTTTAGAATTTAGAAAAGGAAAAGCTTAGTGGAAGAGTACCGCAAGCAATGGAACTATAAGCCTCAAAAAATAAACAGGGATATTATCATAATTGAGGGAAATATATTTATGTATATTATTGTTGTTGTTGTTGAACCGCAAAAAAATCCTTCAAAGTAATTTTTGGGAAATTTTACGTTACTGACTGCCACGGGAACTATTGGATTTTAGACGCCTCTTACGACAGGAATTCCATACCACGGATAAATTCTTGAAATCCCAACCCGCAGGGGGTTGTATGTATATAAAGCGTCTACGTTAGCTATGACATTTTGTTCGTTTGGCGAACTACTGTCCAGCTTGAAAAGCATACGATTCGCCGCTGGATGAGTCCGTTACAAAGATTAGGTAAACAATGACGTCACTTCATAACTGGGCCGAATGGCGAAAAGAAAGAACGCCTGCTGTGTTGTTCTGTTAATGGTGAGCGGTGAATTCTCTACTTAAAAATAACTCTCAAATGAGTACCAACATAATTTCTTGAAAATAGAGAAAAAGAGAGAGAGAGAGGGAAAGAGATAGATATAGAGAGAGAGAAAGAGACAAAGATAGAGATAGAAGTAGGTGTTGAAAAACCAGCAAACATGTACTCAATTTTGAAATATGGAGAACGCAAATATTTCAAATGAACTTCGGTAGACTTTTGGCGTAATATAAATATTATATATTGCAAGGAATATGTGTAATTGCCGCTTTCCAATCACTGAAGCGATTTTCGGTCGAGTTTCTCTTCTAATTTTTGGTATTTTCCTTAATATTTTCCAAAAAATGGATGGACCTACAGTTTATTCTGTGCCATTTATTCTGTGCCTCCGAACGAACGGCCGTTGGATTTTTATGAGGAGGCTTGACTTCATGTCTGTAATGCACTCGGAGGAGTTGAAGTTCCTGCCGAGTGTCGATCGCATTTAGAAAAATTACTTGCTATAATTTTGGTTGTTGGTTGGTCTTCAGAGCGGCAGTTCGCAATGCTAACCACTCGGCTATGGCGGCCACCAAAGAACACTCTTCGCAAATTTACCAGAATTACCTTATTAGAAACATTTCAACACAGAATTTTGGGTCTGCAAAAAATTAATATATTCTTCAGAGATATTCCCATTCCCTTTCTAATAACTGCTTCTTTAGCTTTCCATTTTAATAAATGCCTGAATTTCAATTGTTTGGTGGAGATTTCAAAATCGCCCGCCTTTATGTACTCTAATTGGTTTAATTACAAAATCATTAGCAACAAACAAGAAGCTTTATGCTCGTTACACCGACTTCATGCATATTCATGTGAATACATATGTATTTATGTATTCATGTATGCATAATATGCGTGGAAAAAAGCAGCCACGTAGTGTGCACATATCCAAAACTGTTAACTAACTTGTGATGTAATAAGAATTTTGCTTTAGTAAAAACTGCATAAAAATAAAAAAAAAATATTTTTATTTAGCGGTGCCTTCAAAAGTAAATTAATTCACATAATATAAACTGAATTAAAAGAGATTAAAGGCACGGAAAACTTGTCGGGGGAAAACTATAAGCCAAGTAATGCAGTTCTTTTTTTTAAATTTTATTTATTTAATTTTTTTTACCAAACTACCGGTGTAATGCGAAACATTAAAAATCAATCAAATTCTTCTTCCTCTTAGGTTTCAAGACCAATTGTAATATGAAACTAAAATCTATAAGATGATAATTGGATATTAGAAAGCTTTGCAAAAACAGGTGAGATCTAGTATTCGAGACTTCTTATCGGATATACTTAATATAGGCGGCTGAAATAGCCGAGTGGCTCTCATTGCGTACGGTCATTTTGAAAGCCAAGGCTCGTGTGCTGGTCCGACCAACGTACAAACTTATAGAAAATATTTTTTTCTTATCGCCGTAGCCCCTCGGCAGGAAATGTCAAGTCCTCCGGGTGTATTTCTGACTTGAAATAAAAGCTCTTTATAAAAATCAATGGGGTGTTCAGAGGCGGCTCAGAATAATTTGTAGAGCCCTCCATTTGAAAGAAAACATGAAGACGCATACCAAAAATTGGTGGAGGAGCTCAGGTGAAAAAAACTTAAGCGGTTACAAAGCGCAAATTATATAAAATTATATGTAAATTAAATATAAATTATATAGATATAATATCTTCAATGCCTCTTTAGACACCGCAAGAGCAGAAATTAGCACCCCTTTTTAATAATTTTCTAGCTTCTTGTAATTCTTTAAACAGCTGAGGATATATGAAGGCTAATATCATCCATTGCTTTCCGAGTCTGTTTAAACACAGCCTTTTTATAATTCATAATTTATTTTGAAACATTTTCTAATTTTCGCTTTCGAAAAAAAAAATATATATACATATACGTACGATGATATAAAGTAAATGATCACTCAGTAAATATTACTATACAAGTTTGTACCAGCTTATTTTCATGGTAAGGCAGCTTGATTTGGGTCCTCTTTTGGGAACGGGATAGAAAGAGATATGGCTTCTCAGTCGGCCGAAATCGGATTACAACTTGTTCTCTTTTGTGCGCTCAGTCGAAAGAGCCACAGATGTATATGTTGACCCCATCATTAGGAAAGGGAATCAAAAGACGAAAAAGTTATTACCTCACGTAGTTCCATACAACGCATGGTTGCTTCCGAAATACTCGAACAAGAACATACTCCCGGATCATCCGTGAATAATGAAAAAAACAAAATATTGAATTATATCAGCCAAAAATAACGTAGGGCACAACTCGAAATCCCACTTTGAGTGATGAGACAGAATCGCCGCCAGTGCCTGTCCCCCAAAGTAATATCGGATGATAGTCCCTCAGAGTTGTTACAAGCCCAGTTAGGTTTAGCTTAAAGAAGCCAGTCGGCGAATCGGACATGTGGGAAGTCGTCTCTATGATGTGTCCTCACCTGCGCATTCATAACCAAGCAAACAAAAAGCTTACCAAACTTTTAAAGATAATTTCCTGTCAATATACTTAGAGTTCCATTTCACTTTTGGAGGAGCATTCAAGGCGTTTTCCTATGATTTTCTGTTACTTGCCACCCTATCTGTTCTTTGTGTTGAGTTAATTCTCTAAATTGTCGCTAAGGTGGGCAAGAAGAATAAAGCTTATAGATTACCTTATAAAATCGGTTGACCATTCGGCATCGTCAGTAATGCACTCAATCCCTGCTTGCCGGACAAAGTTCTAGTTATTGAATTTGAATCTTTTTCTGTTGTTGGCTCGGTAACAGAAGAATCATTTTCCTTTGGTGTTCTCTAGCTAAGACTTGGCAGTATATATTGCATAAGGTGTCATTCGCGGTTCTTTACTTTTATAGGAAAAAATACAGACAAATCAAACTTAAAGGGAAAGTTTTTTTTATTATTCGCGAACTTTTTGGGGCAGCTTTTAGCATCATATATCAGTTAAATATTTATTGGTCTATCGAGGATGACTCCGAAGGCCTTCAAAGAAGTGATACTTGCCTTATTTAGTAAATTTTTCACGCTTTAAACCAGCAAAATTTGACATAGACACTGGTGTAAAATCCATGAGCACCATTTTAGCGCAAAGGCTGTTCTAAAAATGTTCGAACGATGCTCTCAATCTTTATGGATGACGAATTAAATTAGCAAATTGTTGTCTCTTTTCAGATTTCTCTGAATTTCCAGTAGGCCCTTGTCTCTCAAATTAAAAGAAGCGGTGGGTAGATTTTCCTGAATATCTAAGATAAATAAAGTGATGTCTTTGGTTTATCTCAACACCTTCACCCCTAAGTACAATCCGTCCATTGCTTATTTCAGGTCATAATCCCAAATGAGGCAATTTATGAAATCAATTCGTTGATGTTGCATTATTAAAAGCTCTTTTTACGTCAATAAATACCGCAGAGAACTTTTCAGTTGCCCCGAACTCCGACTACTTTGTGCAGGGCAGCCTCAACAGTCAGACATGCGAATGCATAAATGGTAATTGCTCGGGGAAACTGTTGGTGGCTGTAATCCTCGCACACGCTCCGGCTCAGGGGACGTGAAATTGATTTGCCTACAAAATTTCAGCACAGAGAAATTTTTCCTGCCGAACTTCGGAATTAAAATCCAACTCTGACAGCCGAATGAAAGGACTTTTTTTCGGTTTGAAGGGTGTTAAAAATCCAATGAGTGAATAATTCGACTGTAAATATTTTAGTAATAAAACCCAATACTGATTGTGTTTTTGTTTTTTCAATTTATTTAAAACTATATAAAAAATACACTCAGAAACAAATACATAAAAATCGGGCACTTAGTCAATGCATTTGATAACTCTTTAATTCACTCACTCCAACAACTGCTTACACTCACGCTTGTGTGAACTCCATGAAAAGAATAGCCTGTACACTCGATAAAGTCTCACTCTAAACTCACTCGATGCTCACAGGATTTAAGGAGATAATAATGTCTTGTAGAATTTATAATGTATGAATGAAAGATGACACGACGAGTAAAAAAGAAAACCAACTTCCATCATCGGTTTTAGTAATATCAAAAATCTCATTATCCTTTTCATGATCCTTTTCCAATATCGTTCATACACGTTTCGCTAAACCAATAAGCACACTTAATGCAGCAGACCATGACCATAACTACCGTAGTTAAGACCATAGGGACTCAACGAACCGTGATAGGTGGAGGCAGTGTGGTAGGCAGGCGCGGCATACACGGCTGGAGCAGCGTGCACTACAGGAATCGCTTTGGTGGCCACTTTGTAGGTGTTGGCGTATGAGGTAGCAACAGGCGCGATAGTCTTCACAATGGGTGCGGCTACAATTGGTGCGCTGTAGGTTTTCACAATTGGCGCTGATGCCACAAGGGGAGCATGATAGGCGGCTGGTGCAACAATACCACTGTAACCGCCATAACCTAAGCCATAACCCAAACCGTGTCCACCGAGACCATAACCACCCAGATAGCCAGCGGAGGCGACGGCGCAGAGTGCAGACAGGGTAACGATCTGAAAGGTAATTAGAAACGAGTTTAATTTATTAAAAATTATTTACTGTTGACATATAAAATGTAGTTTTATTATTAATATTTTCATTTAGGCCGATGATATTAATTTTATTAAGGAGTAAACTCTTAATACTAATTTAGTGGTATTTTGAATGTTTTAAAAAATAATTATTATGTATTGTATAGAGAGCTCAAAGGACGTGCTACTATAAAATAATAATAAGAATTAAACAAAATTATGTTTTCTATATCAGTTTTCATTTCTATTAAATTTCATTTATTAAATTTAAAAAAAAAAATTATTTCTAAAAAATAATTTAAAATTGTTATATTAATAATATTTTTATTATTTATGCTATATAATTACATATTTAGTATGTTTATTTTTGACCACGTTTAGCCCGCACCCGGCAGCTACAATAGACGTGTAACTGTTTATATTACCGTTCGGAAGGCTGGGTTTGAGTTCTATTCCGATATCCGAACATCTAAAATTTTAAAAAATAAATTTTTCTTATTGCCGTCGCCACTCGACAGAGAGTTCCAAACCTTCCGAGTGTATTACTGACTTGAACTAAAAAGCTCCTCATAAAAATCCAGGGGCTGTTCGTAGGCGCCCAGGTATATAATATACTGTAGGAAGCTTTATTTGTAAGAAAGACGCTTCAGCGGTAAAAAAAAGTGCCAATTATTTATATGGAATAATTTATTAATTTGCGTAAATAAGCGCTGACTCCTGGATTCGCTTGTTACAAAACACTTTACTTTCTATAATTTTTTATTTTTATTTTTACTTATTTTAAACCGATTCCTTCCTGACGTATACCGAAATATTTGGGCAATTTTATTTTTGGTTCAATCACTGTAAATAATTCTTCTAAAGGAAAAAAAAAATCTGACCACTTTCGTTTGCAACAGTTCATACATATTTATATATATTTCACTAAAAAATTAATTGACTCCTTTTACACAATGAAACTTTATTATAATTCCCAAATATCCTTGCGCTGCTTACCAATTTGAACATTTTGTTTGAGGTTTTTGAATGAATTTGGACGCACAACTACAACACAAGATTAAGTTAAGCACAAATGTTGTTATGATTAAATTCAAAAACTGTGCCGGATATTTATACGCGAAAATCAGAAAAATTCTTATAGAGCAACGAAAAGTCCAAGAAACACTCAAATATACACAAACACACGCGCATAAATTAACAAATCGACACAAAAGAAAAATTGACATATGAAAAGCAAAAATCACTAAGACTAGACTCAAAATCAATGGTTCGCGTGCAAATAGACGCGAAATGAGCGTAACTCAAGGTAAATAAATTAATAAATGCAAACTAAAAATAATATTTGACTCTGAAAACAGTCTTTGGCTGTTGCACGTTGTTTAAAAGTGAAAAAGCGAAGGGGTTGCTAGCAAAAACAAAAAAAAAAAAACAACTCAATCGAAAGAGACCTGCACACATGCGCTGAGAACGACAAACTCTGAGTCAAGATCTTTTGGTGTCAATATCCGTTTCAATTAATGCCGGCAACGCACTGTTGTTGTTTCTTATTTCTGAGCGCGAAATGTAAGCTTCTGTTGCTCTCATTGTAATGGTAATTTTACTAATTTAATTCCTGTGGCTTTGATACTTTGACAATTAAGTTAATAGTGCGTTGAGATTGCAAAAATTTGGGCGGCTGGCTTTTTTTTTTATAAATGCAACGCGAAATACATAAGAAAAAAATATTTCTTAGCTTGTATATCACAGTTCAAATTTGCGATTTTAATCAAGGTTTTTTTCCAAATAGTAGCTATTTATTTAATTTAATTTAAATTTATTTAATTTGAGTGATTTACAATTAATTTTTATTTTTCTTTTTTTTTTTTTGATTTTACAAATATATAATGCCATTGCATTCACCGTAAAAATGCCTGCTATGCTTAATTTCAAACTGTTATTGCTGCGGAGCATAAATTTTCGCATTTAAAATGCAGTTTGCCTTTGATTTTTTTTACTTTAATTCATATGACCAAACCATGTGACGACTTGTGAATTTATTCTCGCCTTCAGCGATGCCTTTTTTCAAGCACATGATTAGTATTAGAAAAGAAAGAAAAACGAAATAAAAGTAAATTACATGGCATGACATTCCGATAGCCCAACGTTGAGTACAAATTTACATTTATTTTTCTTTGTTATGAATTTGTTGAATTATGCAAGACTTCGTACAAATATTTTTTATGCCACAATTAATATTAATTTCTGCAACACCCCTTAGCTTTTTTAACAAATATCAAGTTCAAACGAATTGATGTAAGTTCTTTCAAGTTCTATCTTAATGAATAAATGAGCCCCTATAAATTAGGAGCCTCCTACGGTGGACGGTCTTCTGGGGAATCAGCGGCTGCAAATACTTTAACTGACTACAGCAAAGAGGTATTTTTAGAAATTATTTGTTCCAACCTTTAAATAATAAACAATAATTTTCAAATATATAAGTCGCTCTAAATAACTCCCCTAAATACCGAAAAATAATTTGTAAAAAAGCCTGCATCTTTTACACTTTGAATTTGACTAATTTAGTATAATAATCACAAGATATATTAATATATAAAAAATAAATAAAGTGCATAAATAAATAAATCGATTTAACTCTGCCTAGGAATTTTCAGTGACCAGAAATCTGAAGATCGGCAAAAAAAATTCCAATTGGGAGCTTACCGGGATCTCTTTCGTGCTTGATGATGTTAATATATCTTGTTGTAATTATTTCTTGAAGCAGCCGCTTCTTCAGAGAGCTCTCTAGTTGAACCTAATAAATATCTAATAAGATACAAAGTAAAAAATTTAATTTTTGAAGCCACTAGAAGCATTGCAAGAGCCACCAGTGCATCCAGCGAAAGTCACAGTTTGGTGCGCTTTATGGGCTGGTGGCATCATTGAACCCTACTTCTTGGTGAGCGCTACCATGAGATAGGAGGACAACATTAAAGCATTCATCCATGAGATACCGGCCGAAATGTTTGAAAGAATATGCCAAAATTGCTCTGAGCGGATGCACCGTTTGAGACGCAGTCACGGGCAACATCGATTCAAATAAAGATTTCATGCATTTATTTGAATGTTACGTTTTTTTTTTTTAAATTTCCTAAACCTCTTAAAAAATCAGCCTGCATTTGAGTTGAGTCGATGCGGTTGCTGAACAGAGCGACCAGCTCACTTAGGCCTGAAGGTCTGCTGTGATACCGCTGTGGAGTACTGCTCACCTTCTCAGATGTATGTATAAGCGATTTCGTCTTGCTTTAGGAACAATGTGATACTGCCTTTACCAGCCACTGCTTCGTCGATCAAACCACAAAATAAGTGATAAGTGAACATATTTTTAATAAAAACTTTTGAAAAGTTTTGTAAGAAAAACGTTTAATTTTAAAGAATTTAAAATAAATGATTTTTTTTGTCAGTTTTGATGAATATTTGCTTTTAAAATTGGATTCGGTACATTGAACTAAAATTAGAATTGAATGAAAACACAAATTTCATATACAAGTAAAGCTTTCCAGACTTGCTTATGTTCCACGAGCACGTCTACGTACATATCTCTAAAAGGCTTAGTATGAGTATGTCATAAGCGAGTGCATTTACTTGCATTGCGGATGTTGAGCAAAAAAAAAAAATAAATAAAAATAAAGAAACGGGAAATTGTAATGAAATCGGTTGCGCTGCTTGGTAATTTATTATGGTGCGCAGGAAATTCTTTTAAACTTAATATTTGGATCTCTAATACTAAGAGTAAAGCAAAAAAATCTATTCCGAGTTCGTAGCTTAAGTCTTTCGTTTTTCATTCGCAACTACGTATGTATATGTATATATGTACAGAAGTAAAGTGCCTTTCAAATTTGTGTCTATCAACGAAAAAATTAAACAAAACGAATTAAACAAATAAAAGAAATATAGTATTTACACATATTTGTATGTTTAGAGTTTTTCTTTCAATTTAAAATATTTTTTTGCAAAATATTTGCTGTCACTTCACCTTTATGCCATGAATCAATCAATGTTAACATTCACAAGCAAACAAACAAACAAAAATAATAGCTATAGCTTATCACTTAGAGGAAGGCGCAGAAAATATTGTAAACAGTATGTTAGCAACAATAACAAAAACAATAACAACCAAAACAAATCATATTGGAAAAATTGGAATTAAAAATTCACGCATTATGACTGGAGCGGTGCTATTGGTCACGGCACACAAGCGTTAGTGGGCGTCTATGGTGCGGAAAAAGGAGTTCAAAGTTGGCATAAAGGCAGATATAGATGGACAGCTGACCAGCGCAACATGCCACAGATTGGACAGACAGATACGCAGTTAATGCAGATCAAGCGATAGCCGAAAGTATGCAGCGTTGCAAATGTTTATTTAAATGAATTAAAATGGCAAAAAAAGGTAATAAAAAACTAAGTGAATAAGTGAATGAGTGAAAAAAATATCGATGGATTTAATAAGCATTAATAGCTTGCAACCAATTGCTAAACGGCTCGACACTACTGCCGATTAGCGACACAACAGTGTGGAGTGGCAGCCGCATGCCACGCGGTGGCAACAAAAATCGTTGTTTCCTATTAGTTAAGCCGCACACTGCTCGCAACCATATAAATCAACACAAACTCAGTGTGCGTCGTGCACCGGAGCTGCATTTAGATAGGCAGTAGCTTTTTTCTACTGAATGAACGCAAGAGATTATAAATACTATGAAATTTTTAAATTTTCTTACAGTTTTTATTTTTATTAATTTTTTTATATTTTCTTTAAATAAATGTGAATGCGTCCAAAATAGGCTTTTGCTGATTTGCTATCGCTTACGGGCCATGCAGTGCGGTGGACGTCGAAATGCGGGCGTTGCGTGCGCATACATATGGGTGACATATATTTCCTGAGGTGACTTGCAACTTTTCTGCATTTAAGAAATTTTTGTACTTTTTTCATAAAAATAGCTTATTACATTTTTTACTCTATTTTACTCCATTTTCTAGTACTATTTGGAATTATACTGTAATTTTATGCATTTTTTTTAAATTATAAAAAATACATCATTCATCATCATTCCGCTTTCCCTGGGATTTCACGAATACCATCCTAAAAAATAGTTTTCTCTCTCCTCAATCCAATCAGAGCCATGCTTTGATTTCCTTAGAGCCGACGAATACCCAAATAGTTTGTAAACGACGAAAAATCCAATAGAAAGAAGAAACAAGATCTGGAGTATGCGGTGTGTGGGGTAATATCTACCCTTTCAACGTTTCTAAGTAGTATTTGACCGTTGCAACCATAAGTGACCGAGCGCTGTCATGTTATCATATCATGTTTTTCGGTTATTTTAGGCCGTTTTCCACGAAATAATCGCCTACTAGTCGCTGTCTACAACGTTTCGCATTAATAATTTTATCTGGTTTTAGCAGCTTAAAGTACACCACAGTCGTCTGGTGCCACCATATGCACCTTTGGATCGTGTATGCGTTTCTTTAGCGTCGATCTAACCGATGATGGAATGGGTTAACCAGGATTTTTGGAGTTATTATGGTGCATTTACTTTCCCTCCTCAATTACGATCTGGTGCAAAAACTCCTTTTTATGACGTGACTAAAGAAGCAGCTTCGAGGTGAGGAATCATTTTTCAACATCTCTCAACTTTAGCTCGTACGACACCAAATTTTCAAGCTTTTGAATAAATCAAAATTGCTTTAACCGATCGAAAATTATTTTCTGAGTTATATTCAATGATTCTGCGAGTTCAGTTAGCTTTTGGCACGGATCATGTTCCAGTAAAGGCTCCAGCTACTCATCTTCTTTACTTTTCATGGTAAGGAAACACACTCTGTGTGAATTATCGGTCGGCACAGATAAACCTCTCTAGCCATTTGATGGACTTCAATGGCAATTTTCTTCTTAGATGGAGGAGAAAATCAAAACTTCCACAAATCTGTACAATTTTGAGAAGGCAGAAAACAATACTGTTGTCAAAACGCTGATGCCTACTAATCATAGTTGTCAGATGTGAAACTTTTCCAATTAAATCGGAAACTCCTGCCATTATCGACCACAACTCGCA